AACTCGAGGCATAAGCCTCGAGGCATTTTTCACTTGAATTGCGTTAAGGCAAGCCTCAAGGTGACCTTCATATTGCGTAATTTTAAACAATGTATGGGTGATGTTCATAAATATGATAGCATAATATAAAATCATGGCCTCATAACCAATGGCATATTATTTCATTTACTACTCACAATACAAAAAAAAATTGTATTTTTTTAAGCTTGATAATTTTATACTTCCCACCATCACATTTCTTTATAGAGGATTTACACCCCAACCACTAAAAACTTATGTATTTACATGTCTAAGACCTAAAATCCAATATTTATATAAAACTAAAATTTCTTTAATAGATCTTCACCACTCTTGTCAACAACTCTATTCAAATCCTAAACTCCAAAATCTCACTCGAACTCTCTATCTCACATGCGGCATGGAACCTTTCATAGGAGCCAACCATCTCCAAACTCAAAATTTTCAAACACGCAACTTTAGACCTTCAAAGCTCGATGACTCCAAACCACCCCCACTCTAAGACTAAAGAGCTTAAGTGGTTGATCCAAACCTCTTTACACTGTTGACCCTAAGACTTTAAGACTCTAAGACTCCAATGCATCTTCCATGTTGGTTCCTTCATATTTACATATGAAAAAGGATTTCCTTCATATATTTTCTATTTTTTCCTCCAAATTAATAATGAAGCATAAATCATTTGAAAAGCATAGTTAAAAAGCAAAATTTAATTTAAACTTTAAAAAAAATCATACTTCACATCAATGGTTGTCGTTTGCTCTCATAGATTAATAGATAGGACTAACAGCTTACAAGACTCACAGCATGGAGATGTCAGATCCTCTCACAAATGAGAAGGCTTAAGGGGGCAAAAGCAATGGTGAGCCAGAATGAGATTTTATAAAGATGACTCACTACTAGGTGTTGTCAAGTATCTCATTAACAAGATGACTGTTGAGGTAGATGCTAAGAAAAAAAAAGTTAGGCTCCTCCGAACAATATGCATTAGCATTGGTAGAGGCAATGATGATGGATTTTTAACATCAACTTTGTCATCTTATATTATAACAACTACCTCAACACGGCCACTTCCTTTAGACTATTTAATTATTTCAATCACCTAAATATCACTCAAACACACAACTTCAAACCTTCAAAGCTTGATGAATCCAAACCACCCCAACTCTAAGACTCTAGAGCTTAAGTTGATGCTCCATACCTCCTTACATCATTGCCCCTAAGACTCTAAGACTCCAAGGCATACTTTCATGTTGGGCCCTTCCTATTTACATATTTTATTTTGACCTACCAAATTAATAATAAAGCATAAACCTTTTGAAAAACATAGTTAATAGAACAAAGTAATTTAAACTTAAAAAAAAAAAAAATCTAACTTGGAAGAAAATCATACTTCCACGTCGAGGGTTATCGCGTGCTCTAATAGACAGAATTGACAGCTTACAAGACTCGCAATAGGGGGATGTCAGATCTTCTCACAAATGAGAAGGCTCGAGGGGGAAAAAGCAATGGAGAGCGAGATTGAGATCTTATAAACATGACTCACTAGGCACTACTAGATGTTATCAAGTATCTTATTAACAAGATGATTGTGGAGGTCGATGCAAATAAAAAATAAGATAGGCTCCTCCGAACGATATGTCATTGGCATTGGTAGAGGCAATGATGATGGATTTTTAACATCAACTTTGTCATCTAGTATTATAACAACTACCTCAACCCGACCACTTGCTTTAAACTATTTACTTGTTTCCATCACCTAAATATCACTTGTAATAAGCTTATAATATTTGGGTGATATTCCATAGATATGATAGTATAATTTAAAATTATTGCCTCATAACCAATGACATTATTTCATTTACTACTCACAGCATAAAAAAAAACTGATTATGAATTGTAAAAGCTTAACAGTTTTATACTTCCCACCAACATATTTCTTTATAGAGGATTTAAACCTAACTACTAAAAACTTCTTTATTTATATATCTAACATATAAAATCTAATATTTACTTACATAACACCCAATTTTCTTTAATAGATCAAATTCACCACTCTCATCAACAACTCTATGAGGCCTGAACACTCAAAATCTTGCTTGAACTCCCTCTCCCACACACGACATGGAACCTTTCATAGGAGCCAACCCTCTCCAACCTCAGAATTTCCAAACACGCAACTTCAGACCATCAAAGCTCTTGACTCCAAACCAACCCCACTCTTAGACTCCAAAGTTTAAGTTATCACCCCAACCTCCTTACTCTATTATACGCCCGAACTCACTCTCCCACACGCTGCATGTAACCCTTCATGGGAGCCAACCCTCTCCACCTCAAAATTCCCAAACACACAACTTTAGACCTTCAAAGCTCAATGACTCCAAACCTCCCCCACTCTAAGACTTCATGACATAAGTTATCGCCCCAAACCTCCTTACTCAATTATAGGCATGAACTCTCAAAACCTTGTCATAACACTCTGTCCCACACGCGAGATGAAATCTTTCATAGGAGCTAAGCCTCTCCAACCTAAAAATTCCCAAACACACAACTTAAGACCTTTAAAACTTAATGACTGCAGAACACCCCCACTCTAAGACTCAAGGGCTTAAGTTGTTGCCCAAGACCTCCTTAAATAGTCCCCCCCCCCACCCGGTTTTCTAAATTCATCATTTTTTTATATTTTATGTTTTGAATAGAGAGGATTTAGGAATGGATTTCATGAATTGAAAGCAAGGAAGTGGGCCTCAATCATGGGTTACCCCGTTATTTTCTTTATTTTCATGCATTTAAAGAAAAATTTAATACTCTAGAGAGCACTGTTGTAGCCTTTTATTTAAAAACTCCCACGCATTTGAAGAAAAATTCAATACACTCCAAAGAGCACTATATTTGCATTTCATTTAAAATTTCCTTTAGTGATTTTAAACTATATTGGAATGATATAATTTTAACTTCCTTAGATGATATTCATATTTTGGACTTAATTTATATATGCACTTTTCATAATTTTTCATGTCATTCATTATTATTTAAGATAGAATAAACATCAGGTTGAAATTTTGTTATAAAGTTGTAGACAGCAAATTGTAGAATTTCATTTTTTGTGTTGAGTGCATGGTTTAAAATTGCGCAATATGAGGCTCGCCTTGAGGCCCGCCTTTGCGCAATTCCAGTAAAAAACGCCTCGATGCTTATGCCTCGAGTTTTTTTATGAGGCTTGCGCCTCAACTTGGTTGAGGCCCGCCTTGAGGCGCGCCTCGCCTCACGGTATATATATTAAAACTTACAAGAATCTTGAAATAAATGCCCGACATTGGACTCTATAGGAGAGGAGGAAGGGAAGAGAGCAATTCATCATAATGATGATTCAAATGAAGAACCCCTTAGTGATGACAGTGCTGATGACTTATGAGTTTTTATGTGATATGTCATTGCTTTTTTTTTTTGGAAATTTGAATTATATGTTAATGAAAAGAATACTGGGATTCTGGAAAGATAGAATTTTGAGTTGAACTATATTTCATGTTGTCTTATTATTGGGATATTTTGATTTCACTTTATATCTTATGCTTTTTTATGTTTTATATTATTCACTCATTGGTATATAAAAAATTTATCATTTTATGTTTATGCAATCTTTTGATTTTGAGGCTTACGCCTCGCCTCACGAATGAAAAACGCCCCAATACCCGAATAGGCAATTTTAAACATTGGTTGAGTGTCATATTGTTCAAATTTAATCATTTATTTTCGTATCAATTTTATCTATCTTGAATTCCTTCTTTGCCTAAGCAGGTTTTTAGGAATGGATTTTTTTTTAACTTTCAATTTTGGCAAATTTTTTAATTGCGTCAAGAACCAAGGCCATAAGAAATATGCTGGTGTGAAGCAGTAAACTATTAAGTATGAAAAAGATGTAATCAATTTTTTTCGTGGCCAGAACAATTATTGAGACAATTTGTCATGGGCTAATAGGTAATTTTGAATTGTGCTATCATATTTATGAAACTTTACACAAAGACTACAAAATTATCACAATTGACATTAAGGCAATCGAAATGATTAAACAGTCTAATAAAAGTGATTTGGTTGAGATAGTTATTATAATACAAAATGGCAAAGAAAATGTTGTGTTCACAAAATAGAATAGTTAGGAATGATAGTTATATGTTGGAGTGCAACCATCAAGTAATAACGGCATTGATTATAATGACATTAAACTTGAAACTTACAATTATGGGTTCTATTCAGAATGGAGATCATAAAGATTTATTAGTTGATGCATATTTCCATGATTCTATGAGTTTCAAGCAAGTCCTTCGATCTAAAGCCAATATAAACAAAATTGGAATTAAGATCAAAGATATTGATATAACACGAGGTATAACTACTTGCTTACATCTAGGACTTCCGTCGAGAAATGAGCATCAAATTTGAAGTGCAAATAATCTCCTAACAATGTATACCCAAAATATTTTCAATTGCAAGCTGAATAAAAGAATGCCCTAGAGGCTTCAGTACTAATAGATGGTATCAAAATTATGAAAGACAGATTGATAAAGGACTATATTAGAAATACTAAGGACTATATTAGAAATACTATGTGAGTAGAATTTATTATAGATAAGGTGATGAAAAAACATAATTAGATTTTTTGTGCAAGCTCCAAAAAGAGTAGAAGATGCACCATGGGATGGTAAAATTAATTAATACAAATTAGGTTAAGTAAATGGATGGATCAAATATAGTATTGATAGAAATTGAGCAAAATGATTGCAACACTCAATATGAACATACGAAAAATGAAGATCCATAAAGCCAACCACAAATAGTTGAGAGACATTCATGATGATGATAGCAGTGACTTGTGCACTAATTGAACAAATGAAGTTTTGTGTAATGCATTAACCTATAAATAGGTGTGTATATGCATATTTGAAACATAATAAACTCCATAAAAACGCAAATGAGAGATTGCTAACCTTTATGTAGGTTGGTTTCCGAAGTTCCACATGCGACACATAACTTTCAACCAAAAATTTAAAACCAATCTCTAGTTCAGCATCCATAGATCCATCATTGTTTCGCCTAATAATCCTAGAGCGTTGGCACCATGGAAGAAAGTCTTCATACAAATCAACAGCTGCAACAACATTAAAAAGTTGCTCCTGAGTGTACCTATTCATTGCATATACCAATTAGCATCATCCGAATAAACTATGAGAAACCAGTTGGTTCATAGATGATTTGTATGCGCTTACTCAAAAAGATAGCATATATGATGCTATAGGAACTTCAAAAAATGATATATTTAGATGTATAAGTAATGCTCTTGTGCATCAATCAACTTTTGAATGACCCAACAACCTTTTAATGGAACCAATAATAAAATCTCTCCTAGTATACTCCATAGTTCCCTGGGACTCACATGGTGTAAAAATTCTAGAATGCCAATTTTGGATGACTCTACATAAAGTTTTCTAAGCATCATTTGCACAAGAAGTGCTTGAAGTGATTAAATTTTAATCCATGAAGCTTTCCATCTGCATGCATTCTTCAATATATAAGATATGATGGTCAAACAACATTTTGATGGCAAGAGCCACATAATTCAGCCAATGTCTTACATGGGGAATTAAAAAATTCCCAACATCAGCAAACTGCCACTGATGAATCCCAACAACAACGATAGCTCATCCGTATTTAATAATTTATCCAAAAAGACAAACTCATGAATGTACCAAAACTACGCATATACACTAGTTTTCAAATTTACATAACTATGTATTCAACGCACATATGAACCACAACAACAAACAAAGCTCGATCTTTCTTAAAATGCATTAGACAAATCAATAGAAACAATTAAACGAGCTTGATGCAAACCAATACTAACATTCGAACATACCCCATCACAACCCGTTCCTGATGCGACTTGCCCAGTACATCGCCTTCTTCACCGTCTCCAACGCCTAGGAACCATCTCGACTGAGCACCGCATGAAAATCTTCCAATAGATGAGCCTCTGCCCATCCTACTATCCCCCAATGCACGGGAAACCGGGTTGCCAATTTGCGCAGCAACATTTATCCATCGAACCGATACAGGTCGCTCTGGCCACTTCGCGCTTTCTCCGCACGATTTACCAGCCAATACCGACGAGCATCGCCGCCCCAAAAGCCTCGACAGGGTCTTCGCCGAAGACTTAATCGGCGACATCGTTTGATTTTGAACGCCACGAAAACCCTAAATGAGCCCTACTTTCTAAAAATCCCTGATAGTCAATTGGATCAAAAGGAAAAAACTAGAAGGGAGGGAGAATTCAAAGTTAGAGTCCAGAATTAGATTTGTAGGGATTGAGAGAAGATTCGGCGGTTGATGCAGCTCCGGAGGTTGAGGAGAACAAAGAACAGATAGACAAAATGTGTGCGGACGTCGACTACGGGTAATCGGGACGATGTTGACGACGCCACGTGGCGATGATGTCTTTCCGTATGGGCGTCAAGTTCGTGGAAATAGATCCTACACGAAAACGGACTTGACACGGAATAGAAATCGTGTCGACTCGACTATCCTGTTCTATCAATTGGATCACATAACAGCGTAGCTGATTCCAAGAATTTGGGACTTTTTTGTTCTCCTTTTTTTTAGTGGGATGGGAGTGATTATGCTATGCAGATACTGGACAGGAGAATCATTTCTGTTTCGCGCTTGGTACCGCTTCGAGCGCGGTATATTTTTGGATGATGTTGCCCATTTTTATTAGTCTCCGGACGAATCCGAACCCGCACATAATAATTTTTCTTGGGTTGGATCATTTATATCAGTTTTCTTTAGATTGTATCAATTCTCCTTCTCTTTCAACAATTATTAAGACTTCGATGCTAAAAGAGCTCAATAATACCGAATGGATTCGAGTTAGTGTGCTCATGAAAATCTGTAGGTGAGTGTTGAGATGAAAGGGGACAAGCAGTTAGTGAGCTTGTTGATATTATTAACAATTTGTGTGAGAGATCTTGCATTGTCTGAGAACAGATAAGCGAGTGAGGTGTTATCGCATGGATGGAAAACTCCAAGTTCGATGGTTGCAATGAGGTAAGTTGAGGGTCCCATGAGTAGGCACTTTCCTATAGATGAGTTTGATAAGGATGATCGCTCTGGGAGAGAGAGAGCGGTTGAGGTCATTCTAAGAGAGAGCAAGTGACTGAGGTAGTGGTTTAAGCACGTAACAAGTGACAAGTTGCTAGCTTGGTGAGGAACATATGATTTTCTTTTCATTGGCCAATTTCTTTAGTAGATATGGGCAAGTAGTGCCCATTGATCACTCTAAATGATCCCTACGAGCTTGAGGTCAATGATTATTCTTGTATTGTTAAGCGAGTTCTCCAAGCGAGCCCCTACAAAAGATGAGTTCCTCCGCCATGAAACGCCTGCAACTTGCTAAAGTACTTCTGAAGGCATCAGCAAGTATACAATACCATCAATTTAAGGAAAATCTTACACTCGTCTAAGCAAGAAGTTAGTTAATACTAAAGAAAGAAACCTTCTTTCAAAGTCCTCCATGACTTTGAAGGTGACTAAGGCTTCTTTTGGGATATCTATCTTATTATTTTTAAAGCAAATTTTTTGTACAAAAATTTTTAGTTCAAAAAATTTTTGTGTAAGAAAGTTGCAAAAAAGTTGTACCAAACGGAATCTAAGTCTATCAACAACTCATATAAAAATTTATACAATCCCAAAAATAATAATTTCAAATGATAAAAAAGCAAATACAAATATAAAACTAAAATTTTGTGATGAAAATCTTATTGTAAACTTGCACTTAATGGATATTGATGAACACTATTGTTTTAACCTAAGAAGATGTAATATTTTGGTCAAATTATTCCCTTTTTTATATGTAAATAAGGATAGAACATCATCATCTAATTGTTTGATTTATTTTTTTTTTTAATCTAATTATTTGATTTGTAAGGGTGAATATAGAGTTCATTTGGATCTCATAATTGAGTGGTCAATTTTGGGTATAATTAATTCCTCATGGCTATGAGAAAATAGTTGTCTCAACAAGTAATAAAATAGGAAATAGGCATTATAAGAAAATTTTTTTAATCTAGAGTAGGTCATATAATATGTGAAATCACATGGAAAAAATAAAAATTTCAATGATATATGAATGAAGCCCAAATTCATTAATTATAATTTATAATATAGTTTTTTCAATAACATAAATTATAAAATAATAGTATACTATTTTAGATATATTCAATAAAATAAAATAAAAATCCAACCTTTTTGTTATAGACATATAAATAAGTAAGCTACCTTAAGAACTTCGATAAAAATAAAATTCTAAACATTTTCATAAATTCATAAGATATAAATTAGTTTTCATTTTTGAAAAAGAAATGAAAACTAAGTTATATCTTAGAATTTTTTTTCATTTTAAAAAAAAATAAAAAAAAAAAAACTTAGTTTTCATTTTTGAACATAATTAAGCATAAATTAGCGTATAAATAAAAAAAAATAAGGTTATATTATAGAACTTCATTTCAAAAAAAAATTATAATAACTATTTGATTTAATAATAATAATATGTCTAATGAGGTCAAAAGATTGTTAAATAAAGGAAAACTATTTGATTTAATAATAATAATATATATTAGACAAGAAATTTTCAATGATTCGTGAAGCACTTAAGAAATATATTAGACTATACCACTTTATCATCAAATTAATCATAAGCTACACATCGGTATATACTTGTCAATAAGTATAAATAAAATTTTAGCATATGATTAGTGATTATTATAATTTATATAAATGATAAAAATCAATTAATTAGATAAAAAAATATTACATTTTAAAATAAAATCCCAAAATAATAGATAATATAGAATAATATAAAATATAATTAAAATGCTTGTTTACCATCCTTAAAATATTTTAGGCTAAGGTGATAAGCACTAACTTAATTATAAAGTTAAATACTAAACACACACTAATAAAGTTGTTTCTTTTAACTCTATCACTTTGCCTATTTAGATATTTAGATTTAATATTTAAAGCTCATCTTTACTTCAAAATTTTCAAAAACTTAGGCTTGATTTAGGACAACTTTCTTACTGTTTAATAAAATAACTTTTTAATATAAAAATTTTTAACTACAAAGCTGTTTTAGAAAGCAGTAAAAAAGCTATCATAAACAAAACCTTAGTATATACCTTATACATGCTATCATCTTCATAGTTTAGTTAATATATGTCACATAGATACCAATAAGCTTGCAATTTAGAAGTCCATCCACTAAATACATTGGTTAAAAGGAAACTACAACAGAAACTTACAAAGCCTTGCACTCTTTATATGTGCAAGCTTGAAGTAAAAAACTGGAGAGTTAGAAATACAAAGGGAGAAGCACTTAGAATGGTCTTATACAGTGCTAAACTAGTTATCACAGCTACAGAAAGAAGCTGGGAGATTACTCTCCAAATCCTTTGATTCAGACTTCTCTGTCTCCCATTTGAACAGAAAGCTTCTTGGAAGAAACTGGATCAGGAGGGACTGGTTGCTTGCAGGCATTCACATTTTAGAAGAAGAAAACATTGAGTTCTGCAATCAGTTTTTGAAGGTTATTATGAGTTGAAGCTCTGAAGGTTAAGCAGTAATAATAAAAAAAACAAGTATGAGCACTAATTATAAGTCCATTTAGCCTTGACAAAAGCTAAAAATGATGATGATGGTGATTAAAAGTAAATCTTTAAAAATGTATTAAGGATGAAAAATGCTACTTTGTGTGATTTTCAGCGGTGTTTAGGGCAGCTTTCTGCAATCAGTTTTTGAAGGTTATTATGAGTTGAAGCTCTGAAAGTTAAGCAATAATAATAAAAAAAAAACAAGTATGAGCACTAATTATAAGTCCATTTAGCCTTGACAAAAGCTAAAAATGATGATGATGGTGATTAAAAGTAAATCTTTAAAAATGTAGTAAGGATGAGAAATGCTGCTTTGTGTGATTTTTAACGGTGGTTTAGGGCAACTTTTTCACTAATTTGCTTTCCAGAAAATTGTTATAGTATGTATATTTCCCAATTGCTTTCTAGGAATTTTTTTTGTTGAGAAGCAATTTTTTATAATTATAACTATTGTTGCCCAATATTTTTCAAAAAAATAAATAATAAATAAAAGGGCCATCACAATAAAATTTCAAAAAATATACTTTCCCTAGAATAGTTCTATAAAAGGCTTCCTTTGAGATGGCTTTGTTACAGTTTTCTAAAGCAGTTTTTTAGTACAAAAATTTCTGATTCAAAATTTTTTGAATCAGAAATTTTTGTACAAGAAAGCATTAAGAAAGCCACCCCAAACGAAGCCCCAATCTAAAACGTCAGATTTACATCTATTTTGCCACTAACATTCTGGAGCCATATTGATAAATTTATGGGCTACACGGAAGGCCATTGGAAACTTCTATTTTAAAATCAATAAATTGAAACATGAAAAGAATTTGATGATTAATCAGAAAATATACTTGTCCTATATGAGTTTTTAAATATCTAAGTACAAAATATAAATGTTTTTCAATTTTAATAAAAAAGATTATCTTCAACTTTATTAAAGCATTAAGGAGTTGTTCAGAAGGAAGTAAAAACTAGGTGAGGTTTAGGACCTGCTGGTTAAAGGTAGGATTCTAGTAAAATTGGATTTGATAAATTCTATAAGATTAATATGATTTAGTAAATTTTGATGCTAGAAGCATTTGGTTGCCCGGTTCTAAAATCTAACCAAATCTTCGGATTAGTTGGTTGCATATTAAAAATTTAAGGGAATTAATGAAATTTAGTAATGTAGAGAGAGTTGCTATTTGCATGTTTTACATTCTTGCAACTTGTATTATTTTGATGATTTCAAATATTATTGTTTTTATATATCTCCTAACATTTTTTGGAAGCTTTTTTTTTTACTCTAGTGTGTACTAACATTTCAGGAAAATCAACTCCAAGCGATGAAGACTTCAAATTTTTCTTTTGTAAATTACAAGTTTTTTGAAATGAAAGAGAGTGGTTGCAATTGAGTGAAAAATCACAACACACACACTTGGGGGACAAATTTTATGAACCGATCGTACGGGACGAACTTTGTTCATACGGGACGATCATATCAATTAACCTTCAGAAGAGCAATGAATCGAACAGGCGAGGAGAAAATTTTCTAAGTCCTAATCATCCAGTACGAATTTAATATTCGTCCCTGGACGAACGTCTCGGGATTCTCACTTTCCTTGTTCGTCAGAACGAAATTAATTTTCGTACCGGGACGAAGCTCACTGGATGAGATCGTACAGGACGAAATTAATTTTCGTCCCAGGACGAAGCTCTCTGGACGAGATCGTACAGGACGAAATTAATTTTCGTCCCAGGACGAAGCTCTCTGGATGAGATCGTACAGGACGAAATTAATTTTCGTCCCAGGACGAAGCTCTCTGGATGAGATCATACAGGACGAAATTAATTTTTGTCCCATAATGAAGCCCTCTATATGAGATCATACAGGACAAAATTTATTTTCATCCCTGGACAAAATGCTCTGTATAAAATCTACCTAGGACGAAACCTGTTCGTCCCAGGACTAACCAAACCGACTTACGTCAGTTGGTTACGTCTTGTAGAATTTTGGGAACCGACCTATGAAATAACCATTTCGTACCGAAAGAACTTTGTTCGTACGGGACGATAAGCGTGTACGAACATAGTTCATACTAATATACATTATGTTTGTTTCCGACACTTTAGGTAAAATCGTCCAGGATGATCCTCGATCGTATGGGACGATCCACTGCGTACAGAATTAAAAACTTGCAGTTTTTGGACAGTTTTTCTTGTCTTTTGTATAAATTGTTCAAATTTGACTGCCACCAAATCTTTTTGCTCATTGAACTTCATAGAGTGTGAACAGCCGAAGGGTTCTCTGCCCACACTAGGAGAGTGTGAAAGGACGGACGATTCTCTGCCAACACTGGGGATTGTGTAAACGGACGACGGTTCTCTGCCGCACCGGGTAGTGGTGAAAAGAGTGTTTGTAAAGGCTCTCTGCCTTGCTGTGGGTGCAAAAGGAGAGACTATTGGTATTAGTGCAATACTCAGAGGGTGCCTCTGGGGAGTGGTTGTAGGTCTGGTTTAGACCGAATCACTATAAATCTTGTGTCGTTTACTTTACTGCTTTTTATTTTCAGCATTTTTTTTTGTTTTAAAAATTTGTGGTTGAAAAACTTTTCTAAAAAAATTTCATTAAAAGTTTAATTTTGGTACAACTAAAATTTAAAAAGAGGATTAAGTTTTAAAATACCAATTCACCCCCCTCTTGGTAGCCTTGGGACATTAACTTAGATTTAACAACCTATTAACTAGACTCAATAAGTAAATCCACAAGCGTAAATTTCTTGAATCCCAATTTCATCAGGATTTGATAAATCCTTGGTTGAAATTGTTAAATTCAGAGAACTGGAGAGGAAAAAGGTTTGAATTTATTACACAAAACTATCCATATTTATATATCTATACAAGATATCTTAATGGAGAATTAAATAACAACAAAATCATCCATATAGGTCCTTCCTAAATCAGTCACCCAAATATGAAAGGAGATTCACATGATCCAGGTGAGTCTCCCATGGATCTCAAGGGTCAAGGGACGGCTAGTATTTAACACTCTCCCTCAAGCTAGAGAATAGGAATCTGTCATTCCCAACTTGGTAATCAGCCCCATAAAATTAGAGTTATCAAGTCCCTTAGTAAGAAGTCCATAAGCTGATCTTTCGATGAGACATGATATATACATATAAAACCACTGTTCAATTTCTCCTTTATAAAAAGTATGTCCACTTCTATGTGCTTGGTCCTACCAACAAGTTCGAATTGCGAGTTATGCTTATTTATTGTCATAGTGTAGCTTCATGGATCTTCTCACTTGATCCTTAGGTCATCTAAAATCATCTTGATTCATAGTAGTTCACATATTTCTAAGGTGATAGCTCTGAACTCTGCTTCTGCACTAGACCTTCCCGCCACTTTATGTTTCTTGCTCCTCCAAGTAATAAGGTTTCCTCCAATGAATGTGCAGTATCCTGATGTAGATAATCTATATAATGATAATCTTAGGTAATCTGTATCAGTATACGCTTCTGGGATTATTCCACATTCTCTTTTGAAGAGAATCTATTTTTCTTGACTCACTTAAGGTAGTGCAATATTCCATCTACTGCTTGCATGTGAGTTTGCTTTGAATTTTGCAGGAACTGGGTAACCATGCTTACCGCAAAAGCTATATTTGGTTAAGTTTGAGAAAGGTAGATCAATTTCCCTACAAATCTATGGTAAGCTTCCTTATCTATGTATGAATCCTCTTTAGCTTCCCCCAATTTGAGATTTGGTTCTACTGGTGCTAGTGCTAATTTATAAGCTAGTTTACCTTTTTTTTAAGAAGATCAGTAATGTATTTCGATTGTGAAATGAAAATTTCTTTGTTGGAGTAGCCCACTTCAATTCCAAAGAAATATTTCAAACTACAAAGTTGTTTGATCTCAAATTCTTTGACAAGACATTTCCTTAGAATCACTTTCACCTTTCATCATTCCCAGTCAAGATGATATCATTCTAAGGATGTCAATATTTAATTTGACTCGAAACCCGATCTGGAATCAACCTAAAAATATCAGGTTCGAGTCAACCTATTTGCCAGACGGGTCGAGTTCGAGTTTCATTTTTTTGACCCTTTTATAAAATCGAGTCAGGTTTGGGTTGACCCGAAAACCTGTAATTAACCTGGGTTGACCCAGAAACCTTGCCTGTAGTGCGATCCCATGCTCGCATCTAGACTCCGCACCCAGACCAGCATCTTCTGAACACTTGGTCTCTAGGCATATGTAGTGATCAAGTTTTTGCCAAAAGCCTTGAAGGAGAGACATATTCAGTCACGGCCTTGCTTTCTTATTTTGTACTTCCCACCTTGACCTTAATTTCAAAAATTTGAGTAGCATCCTGAGCTTTTAAGAAGGTTTACCTTGCGGCATCCATATGTCCTTTGCAGTAGATATGAACATAAAAATATTATTAATTTCTAGAGTCATGGAATTCTACAACCATGACATAATAATGGAGTCAGCTTCATCCCTGGACCAAAAATTAGAATCTCCTTTTGGTCCAACCCTAAGGAGGTGATTCATCTTTCATTTCCCTTCCAATAATTCTTCCCATTTAAACGATAGACAGTTTGCATATTTTGGAGGTCTCCTCTTCCATGGTGCACCATAGAGTCCTCCATTTGATCAAAGTTTGGGATGGAATTATCTTCAGACATTGCGGTGACAAAAGGTACCAATGAAGGATATATTAAGCAGGGCAACAATGAAGGTTGCTTTGGTTATAGATAGGATAGCAACCAGAAGGGAAGGCCTACAATGAAGGCAAGGTCGTAGAACAAAAACTCTAAATTACAACAACGATAATGAAGGCTCTAATACCATGTTAAATTCAAAGAATTAGAGAAGTAGAAGGTTTGATTTTATTGCACAAAATTATCCCTATTTATAGATCTATACAAGATATCTTAATAAA